TTCCACCGCTTGATAAAACATTCAAAATTTATGCATAAATTCAGACAACAAACAACAGCAACTATTCTTCAAAATAAAGGCCATTATTATCCACCACTTTTTGCCATCGGTCCGCCTGGTTTCGGATCTAATCAAAATACCACTGCTTCGGCTTCGAATCAAGAAACTCTTGACATGCTTATTCAATTTCATAAAGAGATTCATATCGGCAACCTTCCATAAAGTGTTGCATTGATCAGAAAAGGTCGTAATGAGATGGAGCAACGTCCGGACTATAAAGTGGGTGTGGTATAATCTCAACTCCGTCCAATTCCTCAAGCTTTGTCTTGGTATTCTCAATTGTGTGTGGTTTTTGCGCTGTCCTGCTGAAACGAAGCGCGCTTTCGATGAACAAGTTCTAGGTACTTCTCGGCCAACTTGTTGTAAACTCTGTCCAGCTGCTCGCAGTTAAGCAGACTGTTGATTCTTCAACCGTACCATCGCCTCAAGCTTTGTTGATTCGGCGAGCTGCATCAGCAGCATTTGAACCAAATTTGTTTTCGTAAAGCAGCAGCAAATGTCTTTATCCCCTGGATAATTCCATCCTGCGGCAGATATAGACAAATTATATCAATAGGTGCGCAAGAAGTAGACCTTTTCAAATGATTAAAAAATCACACACAACATATGGAAAGAAAACGAGTTCTCATCCAAAAGAGGAAAATTTTCTTTCCAATCTAGTATAAGATTGACCCGGGGACTACATTTTACTCAGGCGTTGATGAAGTTTTCTTAGTGGATAGAAGGATTCAGTTCCTTGCGTCGATCGGTCTCTGGCGGTTGCATTATGCATTAATCCTCATTTAGCTTTGCTCAACTGATTGAGTACAAATTTGGCCTTCACAGTGACCCAAAATAAGCTATATATCAAGTCAGTGCTGCTATCCTCTCAAACAGTGAGCCCAAGTGCAGGATAACACCATCTAGCACCACATTATCCGATCATGTGTGACGCAGGGCATCTCTGAGTACTACGCTAGACGCGCTCACTTTAAAAATTAAACCGAAATAGAAATGTTGCAGAAAATCTTTCATGGATAATTTATTAACGTGATTTATGACAACGATTAATTTAGATATTTTTACTCTATAGCCCGTTATAATATACGGAGAAATTCTGAGTCAGGTTGGACCTCGACGCAAATTCCGCTGTCTGTTGGCAGATAACGCACTGTCGCGTTTAAAGAGTAGTGTGAAAACGAGCGTTAATAGTGTAACGGTACGTACGTGCTCCCGGATAGAGTGAAATGTGTGTTCGAATTCAACTTGACGCAAAAGTTCTTACGCTCCACTTCACATCATTAATTATATTGTAACATCATACCACCGCAAGAAGCGATCAAATAAAATGAATTCTGATTGATTGTCAATACGCCATATCTGTCAGCATAAGTGGGTTCAATGTCGACAGCGGCTGCCCACGCCAGACTGTTGACGGTTGGATGTTGACAGACAAAGCGTTGTAGCGTAGAATGAGTGGTGTCAAAATGAGCGTTGGTAGTGCAACGGTTCAGCACGCGCTCCCAGATAGAGTGAAATGTGCGCTCAAATCCCACCTGACGCGAAAGTTTCCACGCACTACTCTACAACATTGGGCATTTCGTAACATCATATCACCGCAAGAGGCGGTCAGATAAAAATGAGTTCTGATACGGAGAACTCCCCTTGCAAGAGGTCGTCCATTATTTCACTTTGTTACGACACTAATGTGGACCATTTAATATCTATAAATGTATTCTGGACTGGCGACATGCCAACACGTGTTGAACGCGCACGAACACGCTCGCGTCCGTTGCGCGTTCTGCCTCGCAAAGGCCATTCATACTACTGGAGCCCCTCGAAGTCACTTCTCGTCTGACCGTTTTCGCCCCTCATGCAATGTGAAAGCCCATCTCTCACTCGATGTTTATACTGTGTAAGTGATTCTTCGTTCATGGCCTCACATGGATCTCAACGAAGTCTAGCCATCACATGGTTTTCAATTTCTTAGCTTCCTGTGCTTTAAATGAACGCGATCATATTCTTGTACACTTGGCTGCTCACTCATAACCATGCCTGCTAATTGACATGAACTATTGACATTCAGGTGATCATGATGATTCACGATGGGTGAAATGAGTTGGAAAATATGGGTTTAAGCCGAAAAGGTTGGTAATGCCGAATGACTCATTTCTCTTCATTTTTTCTCCTTGAATCAGATTCCTCACTAGTTGGAGTTGTCCATTTTGGTGCCCGTTGATGCTTTTGTTACTTTAGGTGCTGCGAATTTTCTGTATGTCTCCAATGAGTCAACCATCTTGGCAATTACTGATGGCGCTGTGACGACGAGACAAAAGTTAGTGTCTTACTATAAACTTTTCCCCTCTCTGCATCCACTTTCCGCCCCTCAGAATGAACGCCACTTTTGATTTTATCCAACTTCTGGTAATTTTCGATAGCATAAATCTCGAGCATTTCAAAGGTGAATTTTATTTTCATGCAACCTATTTACTACGCTGTGACAGCAAAAATAAAGTTATGTTTCGCACTCAAGCACTTTTTGCTTGGAAATGTTCGGTAGTTTGAATCTCGATGTGCTTGATAGTGTACTTGGATTTTTGAAAAGGATTCTACTGCACTGTAAAGTTGAAAATAAAAGATTTTCATATGTTAGGCGGCGACAAATGAGTATTCGACACCATTCGCTGGACAAGACTTTTCACAACAGTGTTAGTAATCATACCAAAGCTTAAAACCCTGGCTAGAACGATACGCGGCCAATTTTCTGAAACACCGTTACATAACGCTGTCAAATACAAGGTTAAGTTATGTTTCACATCGGCCGCGCAATTCAACTATTACTTCTCTGGGAGCATAGCCCATGAACGTGTGAAGAAAATCTTCTACTACCGTAGTCAGACGTTAATCAGTTTCTTTCAAAGCGTAAAAACAATTTCTAATAGCATAACAAAAATCACACTTTCATATGATTCGTCAAAGCCCCAATCGATCGCTAGCCGCGCTGTAACTGTACGGCATCCTCACTGGGTCTGCCCCATCCCGTGGATTAGCCAAGAAACACGTTCTCGCGTATGCGAATCAATCTTTTTTTTCCTGTTACACTGCACAGAGTGGTCTTTTCTTTCCGGGGAATAAGCAGAGTCTTTGATTTGTTAGATCTTACGCTATCGATTGTTTATTAATAGTTCAAAGAAAAAATCTGTATTTCGAGAAAAACGCGTGTGTGAAACAAGTGTTACCCTTTTACCGAAGGGTCTTTTTTGGAAGCCTGCCACGTACCGCGCTAGCCAAAGATTCAAGCTTTTGAATGGTTGCTAGCACTTATATGAGAAGTTCTTTTGTTGTCATGTATTTATTTGTCGCCGTCTAACATATACGTACCAAATAAAATTGCTGCGGACTTTGCAACATTGGCATCAAGACATCGCGCTTTCGAAACAACACACAAACTCTAGCCGATGAGAAATGTGCACCGAGTGCAAAAATTGTCTCCTTCCATCTACAGCAACACACCAAGAAGACCTTCTTAAGAACGATGTGCGCCATTGAAATTGTTGAGCTTTGTGCAGTCGAATGCTTATCGAAGGTTCAGAAGAAAAGCTGTGTCCAGTAAAAATTGGCCAGTATGAAGCGTAATTTTATTTTTTTTCCTACTGGAGAGCAGAAAAAGTTATTCTCAAAAAGCAGTAAGCACTGTCAAATTCTTAAAATTTAAGCTATCGAAAGGCTGTTACTCCGAAAAGCCTATGAAAAAGCCAAAACTACATTTTTCCCAAGATGCTAAAAATGAGTGAGTATAGGAGAAAAGTGCCAAAAATTTTTGTGACACTAATCTGGAATGCATTTTCAGATAGAAGACTTTTCCTACAATGGTCTTCGAGGCGAAAGTTTACTAAAAAGACTTGATCCAAAAGTCTGCGAAGAATTACGTTGCGAAGACTATCAAAACAGGTGTAATGCAAAATTTAGAACATATACCGTAAAATTTTCACTTCTATTCGCTGCTCACTTTTCAAGATAACAGTGTGCAATGTTAAAGGAACCCACAACGATGCTAGTCATGAGTAAAACTCAGAACATCGGTCGCTCACTTCTTGGTGCAAGTAATGGCGATCTGACACCCGCTTGAGGTTCCGAGTCTTGTGTCTTAGCATTCTTTTGATTGGTTTTTCCATTGTACTAGATTTATAATATATAGTCGCGGCTATGCTCGAACACGATTTGTCTTTGACTAGTCCGGTTCTTTTGGGCGTCCATTCAAAGAAAGACCATGCCCTTTCTGTTTCAACGTACACGTGTCAATGATCACGGAGACGAATTATGCAACAAAAACATCCAGGAATTCTTAGATATTGAAGTTGATCAGCATTCCTGCATTAGAGTCAAATCGTCAGAATGTTATAAAATAGAGGAATTTCTCTGCTATCGTGAGCTTGTATTGTGATTCTATTTTAATCATAAGAGTGACTATTCAGTACTGGAACATCTCATGAAAACATTGTTGTTCTTATGGGCACGAAATTTCACAAGTTATGATGCCTACGATAGACTAGAGGTTATGATTCCTTTTATGCTCACGTGTATCCTGCTGCTCATACAATCCGCTTTTCTCAACATCTATCATCGTCGATCAACTGCTCTTTTCACCGTGGTCTAGCAAAGGTCCGGTGCATTTTACTCATCTGCACACTCATTGTTCGTCTGTGCCTCGTCTGTGCCTCTTGCAAATGGTATTAGCGACCTCAGACGGTGCAAATGTGTCACCTTAACGAACCGATTGCATGTAATGTCATTTATTGGTGCCATAACACTTAATCACCATTGCATAGTTATTTTGGCACGATTACAAACACTGTCCATTATAATTGTCAAATGTCGTATTCGAATTTATACCCTTGTGCTTGTTATTTTGTCTGTTGTTAATAAACCCTCATGTATATGAAGGTTTAACAATGTAGAGTGCGTCGGTGGTGCAACGGTTCAGCACACGCTTTCGGAGACAGTGAGGTGTGGGTTCAAATCCCGGCTGATGCAAATGTTTTTGCACACCACTCTACATTATTGGGTTTATTGTATGATCATATTATCGCAATACGCGGTCATAAAAATGAGTTATGAAGGTTTAATTACCTAAGCTTGAAGTGACACAAATACATTCATCAATCAACAACGTGACATCTCACAGGCAGTCAGTCAAGCAGTCCAGTGTTGCACTTCACTGTGAGCCTTCTCTACTTTGAGTGTTGTCGAACTTCTTCAAATTTTCTGAAGTTAGAACTCCAGGTATAACGGTGGTAATTCTGAAAAGTCTTCCCTAAAGATACTACAATGTGAACTATCACAATGATAATGAGATGTAGAGGCAACAAAGTGTTACTGAATGTGCAGTGCAGCAGTAGCTTAGAATACTTCTTCACAGCATATTCGCTCTAGAGGTAATGAAGGTCGTGGATGTCCTCTTACTATTGACAGCGACAAGTAGAATGTAACGGGGAAAATTTTGAATGTTTGAATGGAAAATGAACGGAATTATTTTGAATGTTTTTACGAGGTTTTAAAAACAGCCGATCTTTTGAATTTATTTCTGAGAGATTTTTGCGATCTATGCACTAATTTGTGAGAATTATTAATAGAAGGCAATGCCATATAACGGCCTCATGAGCGATGGCCCTACAAAGAAGACTGGATCCGGACGACTACAAAGAATCAGACCGCGAAACAGAATTATAACAGCTAACCTTTTGGCTTCCACGTTAATATTTTGCTTGACATGCGACGCGGTCGCCAAGTGTGCGTGGTGCGCTCCAGTGACCATTTGGTAGTTTGTCTTTTGTCTAAGTCTCTTCCGTGATATTCCATTCGTGAAGGGCAGATGAAGGGGGGGGGGGGGGGCTGGGCGAGACAAACGCCAATTCGAATTCTTTCGAACGCGTCGCGGCGATTGACACCATACACCATACACGTGGGAGTCAAATGATTGATAAAGAAACAGAATACGCTACCGAGTTAGATATATTAGAACACAACAGACGTGCGATCCGACACATGTCGAGTAATGCAAAATTCAGAATTATGTTCCGTAATGTTTTCATTTTAAACGGTACCTCCCTTTCTACATAGCACGGTGCAATGTTAGTTAACCGGAACCACAAAGATGCTGATTATGAATGGAACTTGGAACATCAGCTGTTCACCGTGATACAAGTAATCGCGAGTTCGCGGCCCATTTGAGGCTATGCTTATTACTTAGAATTCTTGCGGTTACTTTCCCATTCTAGTAGTTTCACGGTACATAGTCGAAATTATGTTTGAAAAACTTCATAACATGGAGTCTTTCATATGGTATATATGTCGCCTCCGTAACTGCTCTGATGCGTAGACTTGAAAGCAGGCCTGAAATAATTTATTACGGACGAGCTCTTTTTTTTTCGGGCGTACAGACAAAGACATATCGTGCCCATTCTGTTTTCACGTATACGCGTCAATGATCTTAGGCGATATATGCAGCAAAAGCATTCAGAGAGGCTCTATAATATTAGAGTTGATCAGCATACTTACATTAGAGTCAAGTCGTTGAAGTTGAAATGTGTGCAAGGAAATGTGCATTTGAGCGGTACCAAAATCATGTAGTTTTGATTATTTCTGGTCATTAAATCTGAAGCTTTTTGCCTTTGTGCCAAAACTAATGGCACGACCTAATACCAAGTGTTGCTTCGGCTGCTGCTTAAGAGTTCGTCTTTGCGAATGTTAGTCGTGACGATTTTCGTTGATATTTTGGAAAGGTAACCGTGCTAAGACGTTCACGAAATCAAGGACAAGAGAGTGTTGCGATAGAGGATTAAATCACCACCTTGCCGATGACATTGCCTCCTGAGATGCCGTCTTATTAGTCATTCCACTACCACGTCCTCTTTAATCAAAGGATATTCATGCTGAACGGATAGAAGATTAATCAAAAAATCGCAGCTATTTCGACGTGAGTTGGAGAGTTAGAAACTGAACCTTATATTTGAGCAAGAGGGAAGACATCGAATCATTAAGGGAGTAGAAGATGGACTGATGAAAAGTAAGACCAAACAATTTATTGTTCACCTTTTTGACTCTAAAATTCTTCCAGCTCAAACGTGCACTTCTGAAACACAATTTTTGCTTAAAAATGCAAAGGCTCACTCATAGCTAAGGAGCTATGGATTTCTTGGTCATAAAAAGAATATACAAGGAGTGCCTCCCACTACATAATTGGAAGAGGCAGTGTGAAGACCCTTTAGACGTCATGGATTAAAATTAGGGGCTACCCTATCGACTGAATTTAGAATTATTTAGGATAGGGTATGATAACCATCTACAACTGCTTGCTTTAATATGCAACAAGAAGCGGATTTTTATCACAAAATAATGGACTCCTTGTATCTCACTGCATTTTTAGTACAACCAACTTTGAAATGCATTATATCAATTTTGTCTATTCCCTTCTCAGTTGGGTGGAAAACGGTTCTAGCTCCTTTTGTGAGTTAGCATCTCTATAGTTCGAAAATCAATCCCTAATCACAAACCACCCACCACAGGCCATGAACCTTAATTTCTTCATGGAAAAGGCTATCGGCTCAAAAAATGCAGACTGTGAAGGAATATTCTCTCCAATCACTTCTACTCATTGCAAAGGATAGAGGAGGATCGTAATCTACTTGCCAAATCATTTAAGCCCTCATGTTTGCTCCATGCTGTTACTCTTCAGTTGGATAGCACAAACTCGACTAAACCACACTGCAAGTGCTTATCATTATTGCATAAGCGATGCAGTAAACTGCACTCTATTCGCCCGTCAGTGGCTGAACTCACAACCTTATTTCCTTATTTTTGTGCTGGCTCAACAATACATCTGATTGTGCAAGTTCGATTAATGATTAGGTAAAATATTTCACGAGAAGTAGCAGACAATGTGCGCAAAACCTGACAACTGACCCATTAGACAACCGCCCTCTCGAAGGCTAACCGGCTGTTCATTCCATTCATTCGCGATTGGCTATTGACGAATAGTTTTCATTGAGGATATTACAAAAAAAATCTCATCCAATATCAGCTTCGCAACTTTAAAGGTTTATTGACATCACGTAATTGTTTCAAGTACTTCAAACAAAATGATATGGCTGAATGAAAGTACTAGGTTGGAAAGAAAGTTTCCATCGTCTGATCGTTTGAACATTCAAAATTTATGCATATATTGACAACAAACAGCAGCAACTATTCCTTAAAATACTCACCATCATTACCCACTACTTTTTGCCATCGGTCCGCCAGGTTTCGGATCTGATCGATGTACTACTCCTTCGGCTTTGAATCAAGGAACTCTTGACATGCTTCTTTACCTTCATTGAAAAATTCAAATCGGCGACCTTTCAAGAAGTGTTGCATTGATCGGAAAAGGCCTTAATCAGTTGTAGCAACGTCCGGACTATAAAGTGGACGCGGTAGAATCAATAGATGAGCAAGAACTAGACTTTTCAAACGATACGAAAATCACACACAATTCATGCGAAAAAAACGACATTCCCATCCAAACGTAGAAATTATCTTTCCAACCTAACAAAAGGGGCAGATATGAGAAAGTCTTAGTTGTTTTTAGGGAAACTTTATTTCATCAAGTCAAGATTTTTCCAACTGGAATCCCAACTATGGGTAAGAAAGTGGGAGGAGCCGTCGTCTATCAGAGCAATCACTTTGTCTCTGCCTACTATGCAAATTTGGATCACTTCTTCGATAACAATAAATCCATTTTATGGCACTGCTTCTTCCGATATTATTAAAGAAGTTCTATCAAGCTTTTCAGTACCAGTGAAAGTATAAATGTTTAGCGCTTTCATAATTCTTCCCAGAGTTTTAGATCGAAAGTTATTATTGCGAGTTACTGAGATGGTCAGATATTTGTTTTTATTTCAATAATTTCTATATGCATCTCAATTAGGAAAAGCGCTCGGCGATGATCACCTCGTGAGGTGTGTGTCTTTCATTCCACTCTGTCCGAAGCAGTTAAAAAGACACTGAAATATGTTTGACATACACAGCAAAGGTTAGGGCCTACAAATGTTTCAAGATGATGAGTGTCGTAATACGCGTGATCTCGCACCATACGTTAAGCTGAAATTTTCTGACCTCAGGCGAGCACAATCTTTTCATATGCAGACCTATGCTGTTTACCTCCAATGACTAATTGAAGAGGACTAGAGAGTAGAGTAATGAGTAGAAGAAGATTCAAAAAAGACTTGAGATTCAAGGCTGAGAAGGACTTCAAAAGCAACTATTTAGTGAGTGTTTAGCATAGAAGCTGTTTATTGTGTGAACTGAAAAGGTTGTTTGACAAGTTTGACCACTCCAGGCTCTGAAAGCGGCGACTCCATCGAAATGTCAGCTATACATTATTGTATCGAATGGTTTTCTGTGGTGCATTATATTCAGTGAGTCCTGATAACAGCCACGCTACTGCTCATCAAAAGATACTTTATATCAATACTTCAGTAGCGGAAGATGTTCGCTACTAGAAACTGCAGTCATTTCAGGAATACCATATTGACTGAAGAGATTTTGTAATATTACCCTCAAATAGATAGCAGGTTACTGTTGCCGCCCGTGGTATCGCGAGGAAGACTCTCAAAACATCAGTTTTTCTTACTATTCACAGAAGCAAGCAGCTATGTGTGATGTAAAAAACTCTTTTCTTGAGCGGCTGTGTCGGAGGGGGGGGGGGGGAATCCAGGAAAGTCGTTGAATCAGCAGTCATCTATGAACGTGAAAAAAGGATTCCAAAGCCAGGGTCGATGAAAAACTCGGACTAAATTCTACTGTGGATAGTGGTTGTAAAAGACAAAAAGTCACTGGGTGAGGTGTTGCCATTCGCGTAATATATGAACGAAACCTATCTGTAAGTGATAGTGAATGTGTAACGTTAATTTCTACTTCGCCAATACAAATTATGGTGAGGATCTCAATTCTTTTCGCAGTTGATTTATTTTCTCGCGTTCATCCTTAACAATTTTTTT